AAACAGAAATAAAAATGCCTGTCTCTTAGAGTTTCAAAAATTATATTAGATAATGTATGTACAGCTCAGTCTGGTACTTAGTGTCCATTAAATTAACATTTTATACTTCTGACTAACATAGTCAATACAGATAATCACAGACATCTAACTAATTATCTTTAAATGTATGAATAAAACACAAAATAGAAAGCTATTGAAACAAGATTTAAAAGGAAGTTTTATTTGTATCACGACAAACAATGCCATACAACTAAGTGGTGGAGCCACACCCTAACAAAACTTAAAAGATCTAAAACTAAAGTCTTTACTTCATCTATCATTTCTGCACACATTTCACCCAACAAAACAAAATAATAGAAAATACTGCCTATTCTCCCGTGTTTACCTGATTAACACCATACAACTGCTCAGGGTCAGGTCATAATATTTTATCCTTGCCTACTCTCTCTAACACACTCCCTACATCAAATCAACCACTTAAATATTCTATCTATAAAATATCCTCTTTATCTGTCCCCACTGTGACTATCTACTCCAAGCCCTCATTATCTATCATCCAAATTACTGTAATGGTCCCTTAAAAAGTCATTTCTCATTCTGAGTATCTCCTCTTAGTCACAGAATAAAGTCTTAACTCAGAGCCCAGTTTACAAAGCCCTCCTTTTTTTTCAGCCAACAAATAATAATTATATATATATATAGGGTACAATGTGATGTTTTGATACATGTATTCACTGTGGAACTATAAGTTAATTAACATATCCATCACCTGACATGCTTTTTTGTAGCAAGAACATTGAAAATCTATTCTTTTAGCAATTTTGAAATATACAATACATTATTATTAACTATGGTCACCATGCTGTGCAATGACTTCAAAAGCTTATTTTTCCTATGTAATTGAAATTTCATATCCATTAGCCAACAAAATAACAAAAACTATTGCCTAGTCTCCAGATCTTATCTGATTAAGTCCATACAACTCCCCTTTTCCCACCTACCACCCATCCCACAGCCTCTGGTAACCACCCCATTCTGCTCTCTACTTCTCTAAGTTCAACTTTTTTAGATTCCAGATATAAGTGAGACCATGCCATATTTCTCTTTCTGTGACTGACTTATTTCACTTAGCATAATGTCCTCCAGGTTGATCCATGTTACTGCATATGGCAGAATTATCTTCTTTTTTGAGGCTGAAGTATTCTATTGTGTATATGTACCACATTTTCTTTATCCATTCATCCAAATGATGGACACTTAGACTGATTCCATATCTTAGCTATTGTGAATAGGGCTATAGGTTATAGACCCAGAAGTGGGATTACTAGATCACAAGGTAGTTCTATTTTTAGTATTTGAGGAACTTCCATACTGTTCTCCATAATGGTTACACTAATTTACATTCCCACCGACAGCATACAAGGGTTCCCTTTTCTCCACATCCTCATCAACACTTACCTTGTCTGTTTGATAACAGTCATTCTAACAGATGTGAAATGATATCTCATTTTGATTTTAATTTGCATTTCTCTGATCATTAGTGGTGTTGAGCACATTTTCATATACCATACATTTGTCGTCTTTTGAGAAATGTCTATTCAGGTCCTTTGCCCATTTTCTAATCAAATATTTTCTTGCTACTGGGTTGAGTTCCTTATATATTTTGGAGATTAACCCTTTATCAGATGTCTGGTTTGCAAATATTTTATCCCACTCTGCAAATTATCTCTTCACTCTGTTGTTTCCTTTGCTGTGAAGAAGTTTTTTAGTTTGTTACAATCCCATCTATTTTTGCTTTTGTTATCTATGGTACTAAGGCTCCCTTAACGCAGGTCCAGTCTGTTTTTCAGGCCTCATTTTTAATCACCCCTCATGTTGTATCTACCTATAACAGACTACTTGCTCATTCTCCAACATGCTCAACATCTTTCTATCTCATGCCTTTTTCTTTGGTTACAAATGTTTTTCCAAGCCCTCTCAATCTGTTGAACTCTTATTCCTCTTTCAGGATCAAACTCAAGTGCCATCTCTTTTCTGAACTTCACCAAACCCTATCTCTCTTTCCCAGTGCTAGGTTAATTGCTTTCTTATCTGTATTCCCACAGCATTTTATAAACGCCTATGTATAAGACTTACCACATTAAATTATACTTGTCAGTTAACATAATTATCTCTCCCTTTAGAGTCTGAGCTAATTGAGGGCAAATATCACATATCCCCATCAATAAAGCAGTTCACATAAAATAATCTTAAAACTTGCTGAATGGAGCTAAATTTCAGAAAATAAACTATAAATCCAAGAGGTTAGTTCCCACAAACCATCAATATCTTTAAATACAATAGAACCACTCTTTAATCAACACAATGAGGATTTAAAGTTGATTATTTAAATAAGGCTGTTAAAGGAGGGAAACACACACAAACATCTCTTTTTAAATACTTTAACTTAAAACATATATAGTAAGCATATAGTCATTCTCTAACTTAATGACATACAGCAAATTCTAGTCTTCAGAGTTTTGCTTCTTCCTTATATAGGCCATAATTGTCATCTATATTGTTCAATTTCCTTTTTTGTTTTCTGCTTTTTGTTTTTTCAGAGACATGGTCGTGCTCTGTTGCCTAGGCTGGAGTGCAGTGGCACAATCACCATTCACTGTAGCCTTGAGCTCCTAGACTTAAGCAATCCACCTCAGCCTTCCAAGTAGCTGGGACTACAGGCACATGCCACTACATCCAGTTAACTTGTTAAATTTTGTTAGAGATGGGTCTCATTATGTTACCCAGGCTGATCTCAAAGTCCTGGGCTCAAGCAGTCCTCTTGCCTCAGCCTCCCAAAGTGCTATGATTACAGGCCTGAGCCACTGCACCTGGCCAATTCTCATTTTTTAAAGAAGTGACTTAAAAATCTGAGAAGCAGAATCCTTCTAGAGTTTTGTAATTTTTTCCCCAACCTTACACATGATTTAAGTATTTAAATTACATATAATATTTAAATATGTATTTAATTACATAACGACAATAACAAGTACAATTGACATAAGAAGGTTTGGTTATCAAGGCTAATAACTCTTGGTGTATAATTGAACTGGTGGGAGAATCACAGAGGTGTACTCAAGGGCAACTTCTAATTGACAGCATTCACAATGTATTCATTATGCTGTGGGTATCAGTGAGTACATTTTATGGAAAAACTGGGGAATGTCAGTTACTTCAATGAGACAATTAAGTGGAGGCTGGTTAAGACAGTTTCCACATACTGCAACTAAATATACAAAACAGCAGAATAACTTTGAAATTAAATGGTCTTAGCCACAGTTTCTGTATTTGGTAAAAAAAAAGCATTATATGTTGTATACCGCTAATATCCACACTTGCTCTTGCCTATCAATTCTAGTACCAATGTCTGAACATAAACCTTGTTTACCTATGGGACCCATGTAGTCCATACCTTCAAACTGACTTATTTGGAGCAAATGTATGTGTGTGTGTGTGTGTGTGTGTGTGTGTGTGTGTACTTTTTAATGATAGCTCAGTCAAAACCTTAATCCCAGAATCAAGATCTCCTTGTAGTTCATCCCTTAAACCTATTCCTCACCTTCTCTGTACATCAGTTTCTTTTAGTTATCCTGACTGCCTGCTTGGAATTGTGACCATGTATTCAATTTGCATTGCAACACATAAAATCTCCTTTCCCTTTATTGCTTGACCAGACTTGATTCATCATATTACCTTTAGAATATATGTAAGCTGCTTTTCTTCCCAATTGCTATCCAACTGCTTTTCCTATACTTAATATCTATATATAGGCAGATTTCTATATTCCTTCATACTTGCCCAATTCTCGCAGATTTCTTTCTGATTGTTCTTCTCAGTCAACATCCTAACTTTTCCGCTTTGCCTTGTCATTCCCAATTCTACCATCTTTTCAGCTAAAATCCATAGTCATTCACAATTGCTAAGATAACATACAAAGTGCAATAAATACACGTAGAATGGAAAACCAGTAGCTCCTATAGCACTGAAAGATCCCAGAGAAACCCTAAATTATGTTTTGCATGTACTTTTGCTATGGCATAACAAATGAACTTAGATACATAAAAGTTTCAGATAACAGTTGAAACAAAAAGATTTTCTGGATTTTATAGTAAAGAAATTGAAGGAATTAAAACATTATTCCTCAGAAATGTGAATTTTCTAAGTTTACTATATATAAATCTTCTAAAGAATGATCCATTTATTATAATCTTATTTTTAATAGTAAATATTGAGTACAATTACCTATCAAGTTTGAAAGAAAACGATTGTTGTTTCATCCTCATAGTCTCATTCTAATGTTCTCAGTATACAACCTTTGTATCATTCCCAAACCCACATTTAATTATTGCGACTTTAAAAAGCAGCATTATTTTTTAAATCAATATATAACAACTTCCAAACTTTTTAACATCTCTGAAATTTCATTTAAGAGAACTTAAAGAGTTTTTTCTTGACAAAAATCATCCTTTTGACTAAACACATCAGAAAGAAGCACAAAGATTACTCCAACCTCTGATTACAGAATAATAATGATTAATAGAATGCCACTTCAACAGTAAACTGCCTCAAAGTACTTTAAGACTACTACAGCCACAGAAGCACAAACAATGATAAACATATGGCTCTAGTCACTATAAATATGGTTAACAGGAACCCCATTTTTGAAAAAAATCAGAATATGCTTTCCTTTTATTTAAACTACTGTAATACATTATCAACATACAGATGTATGTACCCATATAGTCTTCTTCCCCAGCTACAAAGTGTTACTTCCTCTATTAAACATATTTTTCCTAAGAAAAAGTATTACTTACATAGGTTATTTACAAAAGAAAGTAAGTAAATGTTAGCTATCACAACAAAACCTATTTAGAGGTTTTTATGTGAGATGTTCTCCTAAGCATTTAAAAGGTAAAAGCACATGGTCCTATAGGCTAGCATACATCAAATTAAAAACGTACCAATTTCTTCCACTTCTTCCAGGAAGTCATTGTATTCTCTTAGACTAGGAAAGTCTTCTTCTCTTTTATTGTATCTTTAAGAAAAGAAAAAATAAATCTACATATTATGTATCATTGCTTTTAATATTATCTAACTGGTTTGTTTGTTCTTACCTAATTCATATATGATACATGGAAAAGAACTGCTTACTGGGTAAAACACCATTTTCTTTCTTTTTCTTTTTATTTTTGAGATGGAGTCTTGCTCTGTTATCCAGACTGGAGTGTAGGGGCGCAATCTTGGCTCACTGCTACCTCCACCTCCTAGGTTCTCCTGCCTCAGCCTTCTGAGTAGCTGGGATTACAAGCGCACACCACCACATCCAGTTAAATTTTTTATTTTGTATTTTAGTAGAGATGGGATTTTACCAAGTTGGCCAGCCTGGTTTTGAACTCCTGACCTCAAGTGATCTGCCCACCTCGGCCTCCCAAAGTGCTGGGATTATAGGCATGAGCCACTGCACCCAGCATAAAACACCGTTTTCTTAACACCAGGTTTGTAACCAGACCAAAAATGCAATTCTTAAATTCCTATGACTACAGAGAAGAAGTCGGATCAGGAGAAAATGGTGCAATATGCAAAATCCTTATTAAGACTTCAGGGAAAAAGAAATTAGGAGCTTGAAAGATTGGAAAATGAGCTTAAGCAAGGCATGCCATTGGAAATTATGGTTTATTTTCTAAGTTTATCATATATAAACCTTCTAAAGAATGATCCACTTTATTATCTTATTTTTAATAGTAAACAGAGTACAGCTATCTATCATGTTTGAAGGAAAATGATTGTTGTTTGATCCTCATAGTCTCATTCTAATGTTCACAGTACATAATCTTTGTGTCATTTCCAAACCCACCCTTAGTAATAATTCTTGCCTTTTTACTTCTTGCAAAAGTTTTTACTTGTTATTTACTTCTAAGAAATATTCACTAATTTCCAAAACAAAAAATAGAAGCAAATCCTCCATTTTTCGTGACATAGTCTAAAAAATGTGAGATCAAGAAAATCTGTAAATACTGTAACGTACCTGTGAAGAATGAGTAAATTGCAAGGAATTAACAATGAAAGATCAGAATCTAAGAGACTACCTCCCAGAAGTTATAAACAACGAAAGAGCCGCTAGGGACACTGATAAAGTATCATTGGTTATGTACCTAGAAAGATGCTGCTAAAACACTAGTTACTTGGGTTGAAATGTATTACCACTGAAAATAAAAATAAATTAATAAATATATCAATTATTTTAATTTCAAAAAAATAAGTGTCTTATAATAAAAGAATAGATTAAATAAAACCCAAAACTATTAACAAAGAGTAAAAAGTAAAACCTAAATTGTAAATAAAAAGATTAATATATAGATATATATACATATATAAACACACATATACATACTATGCCCATATATGTATATACATGTATGTACACAAAAACATACATACCAAAATATAGCTAACACATAATTTTCTCTTAATAGCCTTCAGACCTCAACTTAATGTTACCTCTTCAGCCTATACGTGACATCACTGACCACAGCAACACTCAGTGACTAACTATATAGCACTATTCTCAAGATATAATAAATAACATATTTGCTTTGGTTTACCTGATTTTTGTCTCTTTGCTATCCTATGCTACTGTTCTGTAAGTCTCATAAGAACAGAGTTTATAGCTGTTTTACTCATCACTTCATAACTACTGCCTAACATGCATAACACAGTATTTATACACAGCAGATATTCAATACATGTTTATTAATCAAAGAACAAATACAAATGAATAATGAAGGCATCAAGAGAATCTTCTTTAACAAAGATAAATAAATATTATTACTCACTTCTCTAAGAACTTAAATGAATTTATAGTTATTTACTTGCTAATCTCTCCATATTTATCAGCAAATAATAATCAATTATTGACATAACTGTTAAAGTCCTCTTGTTGGCTGAATCATTCAAGCAGGAATACTTACATCTTTAGCACTTTTTTCCTGATCTCAACCTCTTTGTCAACAGTGGGATCTTCAAAGAGTTGTACCCTGAAGTTGCTCTTTCTAAGTGGAGTACCACACTCAGGACAGTTTCCAGCTCCTCTCACAAACAGTAAATCCACACAACTTTCACAG